CGGCATGACTGGGGTGAGTGTTTGCACTTCCAGGGTGGTCCGGCACGATGAAGTAGGCGATGAGTCGATGCTGGCGTTTGCTTTGCTCAGGCAGCTGGCAAGTACGCCGTGTGTGCCACGGAGATGCTGGCCTCCATGGAGGACAAGCCGTTCCCGACCCGTGCAGAGGCCTGCGATGTGGCGAACGCCGTCTTGGATGGTGCCGACGCAGTGATGCTCAGCAGCGAGAGCGCCATGGGAAAGCCACTTGGGCTGTCAGGAAGTTAGGTCTGGCACGCGTAGGAGGACCGATGCTTCTTACTGGTAGCAGCACTTAAGGTTCCCGGTCGAGACGGTGAACACCATGAGGAGGATCGTCGAAGAGGCCGAGCACGCGCTCGTGTCCGAGGTCGTCGCGGCGTGAGTAGCTTTAAGCTCCGAGCAGTCTCACATTTGTAGCACTCTTGTGAAATTCAGAGGCCTGCATATCTCTCGTGACTGCGGTGCATCTTTAGTCTTCACACTTCTCGGAAGCAGTGCGTGCAGCACAGGGGCAGGTTATTGCAATTCTCACTTGCAGCGAAGCCCAGGACAGGTCAGCTTTACTCGTGGCGAGGCCGTTTAGCATACCTGGAAGGCAGTCGTAGCCTGGGCTTTGCCTTATGCAGCTTTTTTCACCTAGCTTCGGCCCCAAATCGCGGCAGTGTTTTATTCTGCCTTTTCGGCCCAGACAACTCAAAGGTCGTGGTGAGTGGAAAAAAAGCGGAAAGAGCTGCGGTCGGGCCTCCCGCGCCTCCCTCAAGCTCTCCTGCGACACTGAGAGGCTTCCTCCCGGCAAGTCGGATGTCCTGGGTTGCCGAGTGAATTGGCAAGATTCGTGGGGCCGATGTAGAAACCTGTCACGACTTTACTTCGAGGCGGGCTTGCTGCAGAGACAGTTAGATTTGGGTGTAAGTTGCAAAGCCAGGGAATCGGCCTCTGCGCTTAGTTGAGTCAGTGTGTTGGCCGAAAGCTTGCCGCAAGCCAAAGCTTCCGTGCAGGACTTGAGTGCCAGCACATCAGATAGGCTTCCCGTCGAACATTCGAGAGCAAACCACGAGATGCATGCCACATAGGGGTAAGCCGAGCTCAGTTGGGAGGTGAGGGCTCCCAGGATGCCGTGCAAGGGATTCATTTTTCGGGTGGCGAACTCTGACAGTCTCCATGTTTCATGCTGGCTTAGACTTTCCCTTGCCTCGCGGCTTTAGGCACCCTCCTCACGACGAGCCGGGCTGGGGTTGGGCTCGTGACCGGTTAGGTTATCTCATGGTTTTGATTTCGTGCCCAAGCGAACCGGTTCTTTGTATGTTCGTCAAAAAGCGTGTTCAGGTTTGCCTTCGTTTTCGTTTTCGCTTGCTGGCCTTGCTCGTAAAATGCAATTGTCTGCAGTGTCTTCCTCGGTTCGTTTGCTGGATCTCAGGCCCCTTTGAATCCGCTTGTGGATACTAGAATCTTTGCTGTTCGGTTCACTGTTGCAGCATGTGCGGAAGCGGCCACAATGCTCAGGCAAATAGCTGCACAAGGTTGTTATAAAATATGTTGTTATGGTATGTCTGGGAAGCAGGGCTCTCAGTCCATACCTTTGCTGCATGTCCGCTGTTTAGTACCCAGGTTTTGTCAGAAGTCTCACTAATCATGACGCGTTTGCTGGGTTCTGGCCTCGGCCTTGTCTTCCTGCGGCTCTCGCTGTGCTGGGCGGAGACCGGAACCGAGACATGCGCCCCGGGAACCCGTCGACACCCGAGCTTTCCGCCCTTCGGCCTCAGCCACAGCGAGACGGCCGAGTGGTTCAAGATGAACCTGCCTCCGATGTTACCAGCACCTCAGATGAGCGCCCAGGAAAAGCAATACGCACGATGGTCGGCAGTGGAGTATATTTCCGCCCGCCGGGCGGGGCAGGTGACTTGCGAAGAGTACACATCAGCCTTGATCAAGAGGATCCGATATTACAAGGACATGAATCAGTTCATGCATCTCGGTCAAAGTTGAGGAGGTTCCGGAAGGCGCTTGTGCCTCGTGGTTTTGGTTTTTGGGTGTGAGGCCTCCTCTAGTCTTTTCGGCACTGAAGCAGGAACTGGGACAACGATCCCGACTGGATCAAGCGTGTGCTAGCTGCAGCCAAAAGGATGGACAAGAAGGCAAAGGCGGAGGGCCTCGAGTCCATCGCTCCACTCTACGGTCTGCCCATCCCCATGAAAGGAACCATGGCCACAGACGACTTCATCTCTTCCGCTGGCGTTGGGATTTTGCACGACCTCCGGGCCAAGGCAGCCTTGTCGGGCCTAGGGCCAAAATTGATAGGATCATGTTTGTTGCGTATGCTTGCATAATACAGGACAATGCGGACTTCATCAAGATCGTCCTTGAGAAAAATGGCATCGTTTTGGGGAAGACTAACGTCCCAGAATTTGCCGCCTCGCTTGTGACTTGCAACTACGCGAACGGTTGCACCATGAATCCCCATGATCACACACTCACCAGCGGTGGGTCCAGTGGCGGCTCAGGATCGGCAGTTGGATCATACCTGGCACCAGTGGCGGTTACGGAGGACACCGGTGGCTCTACCCGTGCGCCTGCTTTCTCAAATGGCAACTTTGGCTACGACCCAACCCGCGGGCATTTTCCCAATGCTGGCAATCCAGGTATGGCCTTGATTCTGGACCAGTTGGGCCTCAATGCCCGGAGCATCGACGACATCCTCCTCATCGATGGAGCTGTAAGTGGCTACGATCCTGCAACAGTCAAGGCCAAAAAGATCAGTGAACTCCGTGTCGGTGTGCCTCGCTACCCGTTCGTGGAGGCTTACATCCCGGCAGGGGGTGACAACCCGTTCGGGTACATCGAGGTGCGGGTTGGGTTCAGCAACTCTCTTGTATTCCTGGCTCCACCAAACAAAACTCTTATCGATCCCTTGCCCTGAGTGAAAGGCCCCCATGGCCTACATGCCTTCCCAGCCCATCATGGCAAAGTACGAGGCAGCCAAGGAGGCTCTGAAAAAGGCAGGCGCCACACTGGTAGCCAAAGAGTGGCCATCTGAATCAGGTTGCCTGGCCGAAGCCAAACCCTTAAGTTAATCCTAAACCCTACACCCAAACAGTGCCAACCATGCCAAACCCCTTGCACGCGCTTTCAAGGGCTTGTAGATAAGCCCGTCAGCAAGGCTTTACCATAGAGCCCTGGAAGCTTTGCCCGAAATCCTAACCTTATGGGATTCAGGGTTCATGGTCCAGGGTACCCGATCAGGTCAGAATGTACTCGCGAAAGCCTTCTTCCAGATGAAGATGGGAAATGAAGCGGCCCGGCGCAGTTTTTCCCACATCCCTGTAGATCACAGCGACCAAGGCCCAATGTGTTGTTTCGGTGGAAGTTACGTCTAGAAAGGGTGTATGTTCTGGGAACACACACGGCATGCCGTCGAAACTGCCTTGACACACGCGTCCCGGCGTTCTCGCAACTCAACACTAACCTCCACTTGTTGCCCTTTGTAGGCACAATTGTTAATCATTGCAGGCTGGGGTGTTTAGGGATGTCTGCGACAGCAGATGCTCCTTCCTGTGCAGGAGACTCCATTATCGGCCCTTGGCCGATCCGAGATATGCTCGTAACAGTGGCTAGTTGAAAGATCGTCAGCATGTACCGTGCATTTGTCAGAGATTGTGTTCGGCGTCGTTTGCCTCGCCGTCGCACCGTCGTCGTCGTCATCCTCGTCGTCGTCGTCGTCACTGCCTGGACCGTAGAGCCTCGGCTCAGGTGGTCAGTGCCCAAGGTCACGTCTTCGCCACGTACATGGGTCAGGCTTGGGTCTGTCTTGATCACACAGGCAGTCACGTCTTACAGTTGCAGCATTTTTGGCCGAATACTTTTTTTTGGGTTTTCTTCGTCCACTCTAGTGCTGTCGGGTCGCCTCCCGGACAGGTGGCGCAGTGGATGTATGATTACCTGGGTGCAAATGTCACTATCGAACAAGTCATTGCCGACGCGCAGAGCGCGGGTGCGGGCCATTCTCCAAGAGGCCCCTGGACAAGATCGAGTAAATTCTTGCTGGAATTGGGGAGGTTGGAATGAAAGCCGTGTCAAATGCTTTCACACACACTCAAACAAGATGACATTTGCCGCAATCTTCATCCTGAGCTCTGGCATCTCATCAGGCTTCATGACGCTCTCAAGTGTCCTGAGTGAAGCGAAGCTCAACTTCATCCTTCAGGAGTCGGCGACACAATGCAAGTATTCTTGTTGCATCTTGTTGCTCCTCGCTGCCTCCTCCTCCTCCTCCTCCTCCTCCTCCTCTTCCTCCTCCTGCTCCCATCGCCACACCTAAGACGTAGCAGGTCGTCGCTGTCGTCGCGGTCGCCGTTGCTGTACATGCGGTAAGCATACGGAACCCCCTTGCAAGAGTAAGCCCGTGCAGGCCACGAATGACACCACACCACGCGCTTGCATATGCTGTATCTGCACCATGCAAATCTCCAAGTTTTTAGTGCAGTCTTCTTGGGAGCATGCCGCGGGTCTTGAGTCTTGAGTCACCGTCTGGCCCAACACGATAAAAACAAACGCCCCAGTCCGCCTTTGCGGGAGGCCTAAGAAGCCTTTTCGCTTGAGATGTCCAGCAGATTGAAAATGAGCTCCGGCGTTGCACCCAAAGAGTTGAGAACCCTAAACCCTGTAAACCCTCACCTCATCCCTCCAGGCCCTAACCTCAAACCCTAAACCCTAAACCCTAAACGCTAATCCCTAAACCCTAAACAAGCCATTTTGGCTCAAGGCCCGGAGGTCGTCCCTGGTGTGTCTGTGTGAGGGTCTCTCTCGGCTACTTGCCGCCGGTCGGCGGTGCGATCCTCCGGAAGGAGAAGGTTTAGTGCGGAGAGGGATGGCTCTTCAGTTGGGACTTCCATATCAGGTTCCGGTTCCTGATGATGTTTTCGATGATGCGGGACAAGCTCGGTCAAAAAGTCCCAAGAGATCAAGGGGGTTCGGGGCTGGGTGTGAAGATGCCTCCCTCGGAGGGGGTCACCCTGGAGGGTATACAGCAGCTTTTGGCGCAGCAGAGTGCGACAATCATGGAAGCGCAGTGAGCTACGATCACCCAGCTTGAAGCGAGGCAGAACGAGAAGATGCAGGGCTTGGAGAAGAAGATCGTTGACCAGAGTAGTGTGTCCATGAACTTGCACACAGCTATCAAGGACTTGGAAGATCGAGTGGCTCGAGTTGAGCACGCGGGGAAGCAAGTGGCCCCTACAGTGCACCAGGATCCTCGCAAACTCACCTTAGTTTTTGGTGGGTGGGGCAAGCAAACCAGGAGGAACATCATACTGCACCAGTTGCGGGAAGCGGTTGAAAGGCTTGGCTTGGGGGCGCATTTTGACTCGGCTCCCTTTACGACTGGTCCACGGAGGTCCGTGGCTCTCTGTAATTTCCAGCAGCGGGAGAAGGAGAGCGCGGGGGACACTCGTGCCAGGATGATGACGGTGATCAATGCAGTGAATGGGGCCCGTGCCCAACTGGTGGGGGGAGAGAAGCAGCTGTGGTGTTCCTTTAGCAGAACACCGGAGGAACGCGGCAAGGCCTCGATCCCCGGCTTTGTCAAGAAAGTCGTCGCCAAGGACGATCTGGACTTGGAGTACTCCAGTGGGATGTCTTGGATGGACGAGGCACAGCTCAGCGGAGTCGGCGCTGCACCTGCCACCGAAGGGGTGGTGAAGGTCGAAACCAGAGCTGGCCCGGGGTGGATTGATCTCAAGCAATTGGCTGCCAAGGCCGGGGTCACAAGGGATGTACTACGCCAGATGGTGGATGAGCACCGCTTCTGACAACAAGAAGGGGGGCATGCTGAAATTCGGATCCTAAGCTGGAACGTTGGGGGGGTCGTGATCGCAGACCTCTCCAGGGCTCTCGGCGAGGCGATGAGTGGTCCTGTGCTCGAGGATGACATAGTTCTTGTACAAGAAGTCCCTAGAGGAGAAGTAGGTTGGCAAAGCCATACCTATGAAAAGCTCAAGCTCTTCACGCACAGAGATGAAAATGCATGGAGAGGGGTAGGGATTGGGATCTCGGAAAAGGCTTGGACTGTCATGAGACGAATTCGATCTGAGTGCGGTGTGTGGTTTCGACTCCGACATGTGACTAAGAGCCAGGAGATCTGGGTTGGATCGGTGTACATCAAACCTGACTGCAATCAAGCTGAACATGAACGTAGGATCGAGGACCATTTGGCCGGCCTCCCGGCGACCCACCTTCCGGTGATCCCGAGTGGAGACATGAACTCACCCTTTCAGTGGGTGAACACGCCGGACAGAGGACTTAGGGCTACTGCGAAGAACGGTAAGACCAACCAAGCCCTTACGCAACTCGCCTCCAGGGGGTTGGAGCTGATTGCACCAGGCCTTCATCAAAGAGACACGCCTACAAGCTGCCCCCGGCAAAGAGACAGGCAGGGGCGATTGATTGACTTCGTGTCTTGCTCTCGGGGTGACGACCAGGGAGCTCAAGGTGCATGAAGGAAGTCATGGGGTCTTGGGCACGGATCACGAGTTGCTCTCGACTTGCCTGTTGCTCGGAGGACTGCGAAATCGCAGGCGCCCTGATACCAAACCGAGAGTTGTCGTCAAGGAAATCCCAGAGGTTGTGGAACTTGACCAGCAGGAGATCTCCCGGCTCGCCAAGGAGTACACGGCGCCGAAGTGCAAGGGGGGGTACAGGGACCCGGCCTCGGTTAAAAGCCTCTTTGACATGGCAAGGTTCAGCAGACAACCAGAAGATTGGAAGAAAGCCTTTGCTGAAAGAAGAAAAGAAAAGAGGAAGCACTACGAAGAACAGGTTAATGCAGTGGCGAGTGGTGAGTGGTCGGGGTACAGGCGGCTCCGGGTGAACCAGTCGGGGGATTGGGAATGTCACTTTGCTGAGAGTCGGGAGGAAGATCCGCATAAGTGCATTCATGAACATCTTGAGGGTATCTATGGCAAAACCGAACCGGGAACTCACAGACTTCAAGCCAGAAGGCGACTTCTACCCCATCAGTCCAGAAGAACTCCGTGATGCAATCCGACAAGGCAAAAAGGGAAGAGCGTGGGGGAAGACGGCACATCTTTGGAATTGTTGGAGGGAGTCCTGCAGGCGAACGGTGGGGAAAGTGCCATCCTTAACTGGTTTAACGACATTTTGGAGAAGGCTGCGATTCCCGACGATTGGTACACAGCCTTGATGATTATTCTTCCCAAGACGGCTAGGCCATTTCAGCCGAAGCAGCTCAGACCCATATGTCTGCCGTCATCGGTGTCAAAGGTGTTCTGTCGTATCCTCCTCAACAGGTCCAAAAACAGTATGGAGCCCATTGGATCGACCCAGTGCGCTGGGCCTGGCAACAAGCCATCGACTGTATCCATGCAACCCACAAATTGTTTAACCTTGAGCGTGAGTGGAAGGTTGGACCTTGTTTTCTGAAAATAGACCTGGAGAAAGCTTTCGACTGTGTGTCGAAGACGTCGCTGATGGCGTACATCAAGTCGAAGATTGGCAGGAGTTTTGAAGCTAGATGTTGGCAAAGGCTCCTCAACAAATCGGAAGCCCACCTGCACACTGCTTGGGGTGACTCCACCCGTCAGCTCAACAACGGTATCCGGCATGGTGCAGTTGAATCTCCGCTTTTCTTTACCAACTTAGCGGAATGGACCCTTGAAGAAACGGCCAGCAGGTACTCATGGCCAAGGGAAGATCCGATGCTCAGAGGGGTGAAAATCACGGAGCTGATGTTTGTCGACGATGCCGCGCTCTGGCAATCTTCGCTACCAGTACTAGCCAGGCGAGTTGAACAATGGATGGTTGTGTTGTGTGAGAGTGGTTTGAGAATCAACCTCAGCAAATGTCAACTCTACTGCTCGCCTCACAATCACCAAGGGGGGAAGATGACAGTTCACGGCTTTGAGATGGTGGGGGACAGCCATCTGAGCATCATGGGCCTGAACTTTGCGATCAACCAAACAACGTGTGACATCCTGTCGTCGTTGGTAGCCAGAGCGAGAGACAAGTTCTGGGGATGTTTTTCACCTGCTGGGGTCCCGGGCACCCCTGCATGGGAGAATCAGGATCATGGAGAGGGTGTGCGGCGGGTCGGGCCTTTGGTGTATCGCAGCGTTCTACCCGGAGAAAACAGCTCAACACATGTTGAATAGCTTCCAGTTGCAGCTCTTGGTGTATATGATGAAGCTCAAGAGGGGGACCGGAAGGAACTGATTGAGCCACAGAAAGAGAGTCTACCGAGCGGCCAGAGAGGTATTTTGGCGAGGAGAACACAGACGGTGGTCAATGCTGTGGGCTGAGAGATGTTGGTTGTATCAGGGACATGTTGCGAGAGGGGTGAATACCACACCTCCTTTGGCCTCCAGCCTTCTCTCCTACTTCAGGGACAACACCTGGTGGAAGGCGGAGCAGCAGAATCCGCGAGGGGCGAGGCACAAGGGTAAGTTTTATGCAAGCATGACCATTGAGGAGAAAGACATGGATGCGGTTGCAGGTACAGCATGGCGGGAGAACTCAATTTCGAGAAGAATGGAGAGGCCTTTGCCGGGGGTGGATTGACGGGGTTGACGTACCATGGGCTTCGGGGCGACAGACGGTGCTCCAAGACATGTAATTGGGACTGATGTGTGGGCCGAGTGAAATGTGGAAAACATTGAAAGTGCCCTCAGCACATCTGCCTCACAGCGCCTCATCCCTAGACGTGGCCATGACGTGCATTCATGCTTTTCGTGGGATTGGTGGGTTCGCGATGATCGCCCTCCTTTCCTTCGTGATCCATATGTATGCGCTACTGCCTAAGGCACAGGCGCCGGAGGACGTTGCGGAACACTGCCTTGCCACATCCGACCAAGGATGCTCGCCCGTACAGGGGCTGACCTCATCGTCTTCCACTACCCTTCATGAACCAGCGGAGTGTACACACACTTCGAACCCGGCATTTTGCCGGAACGGGACTCGGCACACCGAGGACCTGGCAGACCAAGCCCCTGAAGACTGGATCCACTTGGGAGATGACGCCGTGTATGAAATCACGAGGACCCTCCAGAAACTTGTTCATGTGGCCGAGGCTGAGATCGCAGGAGAGATTGCGTTCGCCTTAGACTCCGAGAGGCGCCTCGAGGGGAATCTTTGATGGACAGATGCTACCTTGGGTGTACGTACCAGGCAATTGACACTTGTGTCAAACACAGCCTGCGGTACCGCGCCAAAGGGGGCACCGACCTATCTCCTGAATGGATGGAGACTGTCAGGCTGCTTGGGAAAGGCATCTATGAGGCGGCAGCAGCCAGGGCCAAAAACTTCCATCTAGCAGATGCCGCAGCTAAGCGCAGACGGGCGCTCCTTCTAAGCAGGCGACCGGGGCAATCAGAAGGAGTGTCGCAAGCAGAAGAAGAATTTACACAAGCGACAGCGAGAGCCTGTGGAGCCCGAGGGGGTTCCGGATGCTCTGAGCTCGGGGATAGAGGACAGCCTATCCTTGGTGGCCACGTCCACGGACACATCCCGGACACCGCGCAGATCGGGGAGAACGAGAACATTGGTGACCGAAAGCACGCTGTGGCTGACTCCCATCGGAGCCCTACATGAACCACCGCAAGAAGCTACGACGGCGGTTCGAACCCAAGGCCCCACGACGACGGAGGAGGCCATCGAACGATGGCTGGAGCTCCTAGGCTTCAACGAGACTCCTACAGAGAGTCTGCCTACTGTTATCCCAGAATCGGTCCAGGCAAGCGTCCAGGAGGCCGTACAGAGTATGACACCGAGGGCAGTGGGTTTGATGCGAAGAAGTTTGCCTCTCTGCTTGAACTCAATTCAAGATGAGGCCCTTGAACTGGTCGGAGCATCCGCGTCGTCGGCGAGGTCCAGGACAGAAGCAGGGGGGCTACGTCGACCCCAGGTCGAGGCAGCTCTGCCCTCCGGCACCGCTTTACTTCCGATGCCCTTAGCCTTGTTCAGGTGGAGACTGAATTTGAACGGGGGTCATCGTCCTCGGCCTCCTCGTCCTCGAGCTCGACCTCGTCGCCTTCACCGAGGGTGATCCCGGACGAGGACCAGGTGGTTTGGAACAAACATCATGGGCGGAGCGGCGAAGAAGGAAGGATCGTGGAGGACATGGGAGACCACGTTCGCAGGCAGGAGTGGTGTAAGCTCTTAGAAGAAGGTGGACACCGGGCGATCACGAGGGCGGTGTGGAACCGGGCGGCCGAAGCTGTGCAAGCACGAGCCGGTGAGGAGTACAGTGTCTATGCCAACGTCTTCATGGACTTTCTTGGGGGGCACCTGAACATGGACGTGGAACATGACCCAGAAGAAACCAGTGAAGCAGCCGCTGAAGTGGTGAAGGACATGGAGGAAAACTTGTGGCAAACGTTCCAGCAGAGGGATGGGGGAGGACATCGTGAAGGAGGCCGACGGCATTGGTGGAAAATCAATAACAAGCCGTCGTGGGAACTACCGCACCCTATAGGCATGATGGCGGCACAGTGGGTGAGCGGGAACCAGTACTGGTGCCGATGTGTGAGAACACCGGGTGGAGAGATAGTTGCTGTTCGGGAGGGTGGTGTTTCGCCGTGGATGAATGCTGGGAGCAACGACCAAGACCGGGAAGGAGATGACGAAACCAACAGCTTGATGCAGACCACCATGTTGAATCAGCAGGGAAGAACGAGGGTGGTGCTACAAGGGCTTAACTTCAGGCTGGGCAATGTGGAGAAAGCGGCGGCCTCCAGACGAGCGAGGGCGATACTTACTCGGCTCATCCTGCGCTATGGCATCTCACAAGGGACCAGGCATGGGCTTCATGAGTTGGTTCAAGACTCAGAAGCTACTTTGGCGAGGCACGTTGATGATGGCCCCCTTGACATTGAGGCCACGGATGAGGACGTCGAGTTTGTTAGAGGATGGTGGAGCGATCTGCCCTCGGCGTTGGAGCATGACCTAAACTCGGCTCCTCCTATGCCACTTCAATGCATGACGGCGCGGGAACAACAAGAAGTGGAACATGGTATGGAGGAAGACATGGAACAGATCAAGGCGGAGGAGGAATGGAAGGACTATTTGGCACAGAAAGAGAAGGAGAACGAAGATGGTGCCGAAAAGATGGTGGCAGCGGAGCAGGCAAGGATGTCGGCGGGCGAGTACCAAATCTGGGAGGACTGGGCTGTATGGGATGAAATGCATCGCCCGAAAGAGAGGAAACGAAAGTCACAGGTGCAAGTCCAAATTGCCGTGGAAACAGGGGCTTCATCGAGTTCGACGGCTACGTGTGACCTTCGAGGGTGGAATGGGTCAAGGGCGTTGACGGTCACCTTGCGATTTGACGAGGTCAACGAGGGGGTCACAGCAGAGTCGAACAGGCTGCAGGCTGGAGGAACTGGAGGTGGAGGAAGGCCGGAAGACCAGGAGGGGAGGAACAGCGAGGCCAGCACGGTGGCAGCAACCAAACCCAGTGAGCCCCTGGCAGACACAGTTGCGTCTACGGTGCCGGAGGAGGACGAGAAGCCGGTGGAGGGTGTGGAAGGGGACAATGGAGACAATGGAGACAATGTGGACACTGTTCCTTGGGGTTTGGGTGGCTCGGGGACACTGACGGAAACGGAGTTGGCTGCTATTGATGCTTATGCGGCCCAGTTGAAGTTGGAGTACGAGCACGTGACGGACCGCCCTGCAACAGGTGAGGATTTTGAAGAATATCTTGCAGCCCGAGCAGAAGAGGTGCTAGAACAACGTCGGGGTGATGGAGGGCAAGGGTCGTCGGCTACCTGGTCGGGGGCGAGTCGGAGACCGGAAGCGTAAAGAGGGTGCTGGACGATGGAGAAGTGAGTGTGTGTTTGTTTTCCCTGGTTCGAGAGGCCGAAAGGGGCTGCGAATCAAAGGTGTCGACCTAGTCTGCCAAGGCATTCCTGATGGGAAAAAGGTCCGGTTAAAAAAAACGCTAAACCCTAAACCCTAAACCCGAAACCCTAACCCTAAACCCTAAACGTTAAACCCTAAACCCTAAACCCCCGAAGCGCCTCGTGTCAGGAGCTCAGGGCTGCGGGGGCCGATGCCTGGAACAGGCCCCGTGTGATTTCGGGTTGCTGCTTCATAGGGTCGGTTTACCTGAAGGCTCTCGTTCTGTGTTTTGTTTTGTTGGCTTCTTTTGGTGTCTGGTCTCTTTTGCAAGGATCTCCACGAAACGAACATCAGCTTGTCTTGAAAGTGGAGTCGAGCATACCAAGATTCGTGTAGTGCATAGGCAGTTGATCACGGATCGCTTCGGTGGGGGACTGCCGTAAGCTAAAAAGCAGGGATGCTTCTCCAAACCGGGCCCAACAGCGAAGAAACAATCAGCAACAGTAGTTCTGATGATACGTCCAGGCATTGCTGGGGGGGACCCGGGAGCCCATCCACAGAAGCATACCCACACGCAAATCTACCAACATCTGTTCTTCGGTGAAACTCGCATCTGCGGTTGCTTGTTGAGGATTCTTCCCAGTCGGTTCCCGGAAGGGCAAACGTATGGTGAAGGGCCCGGACCTAGACGGGCCGTTTCGGGAAGCTGGAACCCGGAGCCACAACCCAAGTTCCTACAGCCCCAAACTGTCTCTGGCAAGGCTCTTCGACGAGGAGGAGCTGGATGCCATCTTGATCCCAGGGTACCTGCACACCCCGACCTACGAGTGCATGGCCGCATCGACCTGTGTGCACCAGGCCCAGCGGTCTTTTTTTACGCAGCCCTCTTCGAAAAGGGACTTCAGGGAAGACTGGGCCCTGAAACCGTAAGGTAGCATGCATATATATATATATATTCATATATTCATATAT